CCCGTGTGATAGGAATTCCCCTGAACCATCTCTCTAAGGTTATAAATATATTCTCCAGGAAGCAGCATCCAATCTACCCATGTCCACAGATTCTCACTGCTCCATGCTCCAGTGGCCTCTGCTGCTTTATTGTTTTCCCCAGCTGCTTCAGCTTCTCCAACAGACTTCTGTATTTGGGATAGGATAGCTGGTTGGAGAAAACAGAGTCCAGAAGCAGCTCTAAGAGGAGCAGATCATCAGGCCACAGACAGTAATAGCTGTAACTGCCAAGCTCCAAGTCATCAGTATTGCTTTAGAATTAATTTCCTGCTGTGTCCCATGGAGGAAAATTCCTTCCTGACCCCAAATATGGCGATCAGCTGAACCCTGAGCATATGGGAACGACTCACCAGCCAGATACCCAGGAAAGAATTCTCTGTAGTAATTCAGATCCCACCCCATCTAACATCCCATCACAGGCCATTGGGCCTATTTACTATGAATGTCTATTGCATTTATTCTGTACCGTTGTGGGGTGCACTTTATTTCTTTATGGCGTTTCACAGTATGTGCCTATCCTAGGCTCTAATCACATATACATTACACACAGTTATTGTATTTTCAGAACTACATGCAAACTATCCACATTAACTCAGCATCAGCCTTTGTGCTCCCCCCCCCCAATATTGAAACCAGCTGGAAGCTGATTAGGCTCTTAGTGCTACATAGAACAGCTTCAAAGCTACTCTAAATTGCACCATCTGCTCCTGTCCAAGAGAACATTCTGGGATTTAGCCTACACTAGAAAAGTTGGCCAGTCTAGCTGTCCTGGGAAACCCTCATAGTGTAGACACACCCTTTTCTGGCAAAAGATGGCTTTAGGTAGCATAGCTTGTACCAGTTTCCCAAACATGAGCTGTGCCAGCAAAAGCACCTTTTTGCCAGTATAAATGCATGTACATTAGGGTTTTTGCCAGTATAAAAATACCATAAAAATCACACACCCCCAACTGACCTTGGTATGCCAACAAGCAGTCAGGGATCATCAGAATGATGGGACACTAAAGCCGCTTCCTCTTTCCCCCAGTCACACCCTACAGGCTGGGCTCCAGCATAGGAGATGGTGTAGCAAATCCCCAGGTAGTGGGCTAAGCCAGTGTTATAGCTGCTTCCCACTACCAAAGTGGCAGAAGGGGGCCATAGCAGGACCAAGGGTCAGATCCAGCAGGTGTGAAAAAATATTACCGACATGCCAAGGAGGCAGAAGAAGATGTATCTTGGAAGGTAAAGAAGAAAGCAACTAATTACCCACCTCCATTTTATCACACACCTTCCTGTTGCTTTTCTTGATAACCCACCTTCTTCTTCTTGGCCCTGTAACTTACTCATTTTGTGCAACTACTGGGCCAGATGCTGGGGCTCAGTTTTTGTGCACCTGGTGCAACTCAGGAGGAAAAGGGTTACAAAGGATTGTAGGACCCTGGGGTGGGTGCCAAGCATAACAGAGAACAGCCTCCTAGGCCAGGCCTTTCCAGCTGGGAATCACCAAGCCATACCCTTTACACTGGGGGCACTAGCAAGGGGATGGCTTACGTCACCAGTGAATTCCCCTATGCATGGGGAATTCTCAGGGGGCCTTTCAGATAGGTCTTGTAGCTGTTTTGCACTGGTACACTGGTACAAAGCAGCCTTAGCAGATAACAGGCCTGATGGTCTGACTCCCTGAATGCCAGATCAGTGGACTTTACACTATTTTCCTGCTTACATCATTTTCTGACCATATTACATCCAACAGTTTGCTTTCTCCACTGAATTTGACCCTAAGGGTTCTGTGGGAGTTGCATCCAGTTACACCAGGTCTAAATTTGGTCCCATAAGTATGTAATTACCTTTATTCTGTAGTTATAGTAGCGCTGATCTTCATCCTAGTTAAGATTAGCAAAGAATAGTGTGAATTTGCTTGAATAATCTTTCTGGCCCTTAGTCTCTAGGAAATGAAAATATTTCGTTTTGTGGGAGAGGGGAGGTTGAAAGTTTGCAAGGCCTCTTTTATAATTTGCATGGCAGTTTCCCCAGCGTCTAAAGGCAACTCTGACATGTCCAAAAGAGACTTTTAAGAGAACCCTCCCTCAGGTGGCTAAAGGAAAAATGATTCTGCAGTTCAGCTATACTTCTGAGCTACAGTGTCAAGAATACTTGTGAATGCTGATTTTAGGGGCAAATTGCCAGGAGCTATTTCCAAATCTCAAAATATAAATGCACAAAAATGTAGGTAAGCAAATGTGAGAATGAGGGGTCTTTGAAAATTTGGCACTTACTGGGTTGTAATATGGAAGTTAAAAATAAAATCATCTAAATGTGCCTCTCTGATTCAGTCAAGTTCCCTCTTATGCTCAGACTGGATCTTTGCTAACAGCTTTCGAAGGGGTAATTTTAGCTGCTAGCCATGGTATTGCAGAGTCCATTAAGTGATGGGAACTGGGTCTCCAAACTGCAGCTCTTAGGAAAAAATGGAGAAAATTTTGGCTAAAATGTAACATACTGGACCAGATTCATCCCTGGCCTAAGGCAGTACAATTCCATTGACTTCAGCAGAGTTGAATCCATGTATGTCACTGGTAAATTTAGCCCATTGAGTGCATGAGACCAGAAGAGTGTAGGACACTTTCTTTCCCCCTAAGGGGGTTGAGAAATTCCATAAATATCCATGGCATCAAGTAAGAAAATAGCACGTTCGGATGCATGTGTCAAGTGTAAAATACCTGACAGCCTTGAGGAGAAAGATATGCGAGCCTCAGTGAGCACTGCTGAAAACTATGCTATTAGAGGTACTGGAGTCTATTGCCTGCAGCTAGTTATGCAGTTTGTGGAGAGGATTTTTAATCTTATTTTCTATAATTATATTTTGTTTGGGAAAGAAGGGGCGGAGCGGGGGTTATTTTATTTATTTTGGCGTTGTTGGGTTTTGGGGGTTTTTTTGCAAACATTCTGGAGCCACAGTCGGTACTGTCAATTGAGTGCCAATATTAAAGGCTGACTTAGTATGTTAAAACTGCAGTTCAGATACGTCAAACCCTGGAATTTCTGGAAACCACAAAAACGTCATCATGTCAGAATCAAAGATACGTGCATAACAATAAGTGTTCTAAGGCAAAGCATGGCTGTGCTCTATATAGTGCCTTTCTTTGTACTGCCTCCACAGCAGGAAAGGAAAAACCCCTTGGCTGGTTGAAAACGTTCTGCCCAAACTGTTTTTGATAGAAATTTGCGGTTTTGGATAAATGACAATTTTCACTTTCTGTGAAAAATGTTGATTTTTTTTGTCAAAAAAAGAATGCCTGAAAACTGAAATATTTAGCTTTGGAAATGATACTGTGGTGCCTAATGGATTTGCCGTTCGGTTGACTCATGTCCCAATTCTCCTGTATGGGCTGGGCTCCCTGGCTGGACTACATCTCCCATGGTGCACCACAGCTAGGGACTCCCATGATATACAGCCTCCCCTCTCTCAGAAGACTGTAATGCTCCATGGGACTGTAATGCATCTGACCAGGGAGCCCCAGACTACAATGGAGAATGAGAGCATGAGGCATCCAAATGACAAGCCCCATGAGGCACCCCAGCCAGGTGTTTCCAGATCAAATTATTTTGGTTTTCAGCCTAAATTTTTTGGTATTTGAATTTGCACCCAAAAAAAAAAAAAACCCTTGAAAAAAAAATCCCCTATTTAAAACTTTTCCAGCCCTCTGTATGTTGGATGCCAGCGACAGCAAAGGGAGGCCTAGATTACAGATGGAAAAACGTGTTAAAGGGGAGAAGAAGTCCAACCCCTTCCTATGTAGAGTTTCCTCCAAATTTTTTCATTCTGGAATGTGGGATTTGCCTCTCTCTCTCCTATTGTCCCAACTGCCCCCTCTCTTTCCCCAAGAAGAAAAACGTCACCTTGCTCTCTAATAATCCCTGTGGTTGCCACAGTGACCCACTCTGATGGTCTTCAGAAAGAGCCACATCTAGCTCTTTCCATGCAAATGGAGAGAAGCTGCAATGTGAGGCTGTTTAGCAGGGAAGAGGAAAATGGAAGAAGAGTGAAGAGGACCCTTTCCTTGTTCAATAATAACAATGAGTCTTTTCAGTTTTTTGGCAACAAAACCTTACACAAACGCAGAAAAATCCGTGTTTAAAGGTCTGTACAAGAGCTGGATGGCGTTTGTATACAGCCTGACCCTTTGTTATCAGTGCCCTCATTTTTTATTCAGCATTTCAAAATAGCCACTTTGTTTTTAAATGCCAGAAAATAACTAAATTTTACCCATCACTCATCTAAGTTAAAATGACTTTTTCAAAGCTTCTTGCAGCAAGAGAATCATGAATTGTTACTTAAGAAAGCAGTTGTGTTAGGATTCTTTTTTGTAGAATATACAATAATGATCCAAGTCCTGATTCAACAAGGTACTTCGGTGCAAACTTTAAAGTTAGGCATGTGCTTAAGTACCTTGCTGAATTGGGGCCCTGGAGTTATAAGCTAACTGACGTAGTACTTTTCACTTTTGGCAAAACATGACACGAAACCAAGCTAGCTTGACTAATTATAATACAACAGAAGTTAAAGTCTTGTCATTTCTAGAGGGAATTCCTCTGGTCAGGTTCATACAAGTAAGGAGAATAAAGTCCAGAAACAACATGATTATTATTAGAACCGCAGGAGGTTTGGCATGTGTCTCACAATATTTCAAGCAAAAGTTTTGCTTTATTGTCAGGTCACATTTCATGTAATGATTGGAAAATGTCTGTGTTGTGCCAGTCCAGCAACTCTGGGTAAACTTTCAGTAATGTAGCAAACATATTTCCTCTGGTAACTATGTCAGCCTACTAGTCCTCGCTCCCCAGTAGTGTGAAATAATAAGCACATCCAGTTCAGCCATGCGTTGGGTGAGCTAATCTGTTTGTTCTGCATTCATATCTAGCATTGCTAGCTTTCCAACACCAATACACTTACATGATGTACCTGCTTTGTACTGCAGTGTGTTCCTGCCACCCAGTTGGATCAGCCATGCTTCCTTTCAGCACTAATACCTTCTGTGACCCCAGCAACGGTGACTGCCCCTGCAAACCTGGAGTGGCAGGTCCTCAGTGTGACCGGTGTATGGTGGGATACTGGGGCTTTGGAGAGTATGGCTGCAGACCGTGTGACTGTGCTGGAAGCTGTGACCCACTCACTGGTGACTGCATCAGCAGGTGCGTGGACAGACATGCTATTTCTCTAGACTCACAAATGCAAATAGATCATGGACCTTCATATCCCAGGTATGTTCAATAAGTGTTGATTATTTTAGATAGACCTTATTGTTTGGATTGGTACTACAGAAAACCTGATGTTACACACAGTTTATAAATGGATACTGAGCCAGATTGGCTTCCTCCTATGGAGACACCTATTGGAGAGAGTCAGAGAAGACTAAATGCTCCATCTGATTACCTGGCACAGTTTCCTGCGAAACATCTCATGGCGTTTGATGGAAGGGCTTTTGCTGTCTGCAGGGTTAGCAGGGGACGATACCTTCCAAGCCTTCAGTTCTAGAGGAGCCACAGGGAAGGAGCCATCTAGATACATGGAAGCAGAAACTATCTGCATGGATGGCTGCCCCGCTGTGTTTCTTTACTGGCCCAACTATCCCCTTGTGACAGCAGGGCAGTAGCTGGAGCTGTGCTGCCATTGTCTGGGTTGCCTTGCTCTATAGCAGTCCCAGAGGGGAGCCAGAGAGTTAGTAGAGCAGGGCTGAACATGGGTGGTGCTGTAAAACTTAGCCAATCCTTGACTCACTGGTGCCCCTCCTGTGTCCCCTCTTCCTGTGCCCATGTGGAACACAGAGCCCATGGATGACCATCAAAGTAGTTTCCATGGAGCCCAGGAGGAAATCCGTCCACCCTGATGTGCATATGCACAGGGGATGTACTGCCCTACCATATTTATATTTATTATATTGTAGGGCCTCAGAGTTCAGCCAGTCACAATTTTATGGGATACAGAAGCAGGATCTTGGGTTAGAAATACGTTTAAGTTATTAACAATAATATGTCAGGAGAATGGCCCATTTTATTATAGTATCATGGGTCATGACTAAGCCTAACATTTTGTCACAGATATTTTTAGTAAAATTCATGGACAGGCCACAGGCGAAAAAGAAAAATTCAAAGAAAAAAGAAGCCGTGACTGTCCCTTCAATGGGACTTTTACTAAAAATATCTGTGACAAAATGGGGATCTGTGGATCCCCATACCGCCTGAAGCGGGGGAAGCTGCGCAGGGGCTAGGAGCCACCAGCAGCAGCTGGGGACTGCGGGGTACCCCCACCACCCACAGCACCGGGGGCCGTGGCTGCTGGGAGCTTGGGAACACTGCCGCCAACAAACTCGGGGCTTCCCCTGCCTGCCGTGAGCTCAGGGATACCCCTACTGTCTGCAGTGGCCAGGAGCTGCAAGGGTTCCACCACCGCCACCCATGAGCTCAGGGGTTCCCCCGCCGCCCATGCTGCCAGGAGCTCAGAGGTTCCCCCGCCACTGCTGCCAGAAAGTTCAGGGGTTCCCCAGCCGCCCCTGCCACCTGGGAGCTCACGGTTTCCCTGGCTGTCCACAGCCACTGGGCGTTTGGGGTTCCCCTGCCACCCACAGCGGCCGGGAGCTTGGGGTTCCCCCAGCCACTGCAGGGTTCCCCCACCGCCTGTGGTGGCCAGGAGTTGCGGGGTACCCTACGGCCTGCTGCCAGTGGGCGGTGGGCAACCCTGCAGTTTCCCACCACTGAAGTCACAGAGGTCACTGGAAGTCACGGATTCTGTGACTTCCACTGCCTCCGTGACTAAATCATAGCCTTAGTCATGACATATGACTCCCCTTCCTGACATCTGGTGCTGGTACTTTCAGGTTCTTAAAATTTTTGTGCGGTAGGGGGGTTCCATACATTTGAAGGAAGATTGAAGTCCTGTTCCCATTAAAGTTAATCACAAATGTCTCGTTGACTTAAATGGACCAACGTCAAGCCCTAGCTTGTATGCTAGAGAAGAACATATTTTAAATCAAACCATCTCAGGAGGCCTAGGTTACCAATTGCCATCTCTAGGCCAGGCTGGCTGGTGTCTGCCTGGTGGGTCTTGCCCACATGCTCAGGGTCTAACTGATCCCCATATTTGGGGTCAAGAAGAAATTTTTCCCTGGATCAGATTGGCAGAGACTCTGGGTTTTTTTACCTTCCTGTGCAGCATGGGGCACAGGTCATTTGCAGCTTTAAAGTAGTGTAAACGGTGGAGTCTCTGTAACTTGAAGTCTTTAAATCATGATTTGAGGACTTCAGTAATTCAGCCAGATGATATGGGACTAATACAGGAGTGAGTGGGTGAGGTTCTATGGCCTGCATTGTGCAGGAGGTCAGACTGGATGATCATGATAGTTCCTTCTGACCTTAAAGTCTGTGAGTCTCTGAGCTGTACAGACAGATCCTTCTGTGGACCTTGTATATTCACTGAGATTATATATTACATACAAATTCTTAAATATATATTTTATACCAAATGTGGATCCATAACACAAATCTGGGAGTTTACAATGATCAAGCTGTCACTGTCTAAAACTATTCATTTTTGTGTGTTTTACAATACCAACTTCATGGTAAATTTCTGAAAAATGGACTATTGATTGTGTGTAATAATTTTCTTGAATTTGTGGTATTTTCTATTGATTCCATGAGAAATGCCTCACAGTTTCCCTTTATTACAACAGTGCAGACATAGTCTGGCATCATGAAATTTCTGATTTCCGCTCTGTGTTTAACGAGAGTGAGCCAGCTTGGGGATGGGAGGACGAACAAGGATTCTCTGCTCTCCGGCATTCAGGTGAGATAGCTGATTCAAACATATTTCTTATCTCCCCTCCTATTACTAAGAGATTGTTCCTAATGAACAAGAAAAGGGTCTTTTAAAGTGATTTGTGAAAATGCAGCAGAGCGTTGCTTTGGATTAATGCCTTAGCAATGGTGGTAGCGAGGAATGTAATGTCCAACATTCAGTACTGTTCAACTACCAAAAAAAAAAAAAGCCTAAGGAACATTGAAAGACTGACTTCGACCCACATACACAAGGATATCTAAAGTCTAGGCAGACAGTCCCATCTTAAAATCTGTGTGTAGGGGCTGATAGCTTGTGTAGGGGTTGATAGTTTGAGTATCTGCCTGGGTTTTCATCCTGAGCTCTGAATTCTCGGGCTTTTGCACATTTACATCAGAATACTTTTAAATGCTCTTTTCTTTTACTTTGTTTTTAATAACTCCTTTATGTGATATTTTCCCAGAGCTGTTATATTCTGTTGGGTAAATTGATGATAAAGTTATTTGAAGAATATGATATTGCCCAGATGAATTAGATATGTAATTAGGGAGTTTCTAAAACAAGAGTGACAACACAATAATTTTCTCAGACTATCATATGAAGTTTGGAAGCTGTTGTGGTTGATGACATGGTTACAGACTACCTCATAGTCCAGCTATGATTTCAACTGGAGAAGTTATTTTCCACTTGTCCTCCTAAAAAGTGTTGTGAAACATTGCTGGACCATATGAAAATTAGTAGGCAGTGTGGCCTGATTGTGCATCTCCTCTGCCTGTGAGCACTTATTCACATAACTAGTCTTAATGACTTCAGTGCACCTACTTGTGTGAGTAAGCATTCACCAGCAGAAGGTTTCCACAACTTGGGCCTTTGTGTTTTGCAGATTGACAATACACCTTCTTCCTAAAGTCATTCTATCTTATCAAGTTAGTGCAAGTGCCACTTTCTGCATGTGCACTGAATTGCATGATAAAAATTCTGAGGACACATTAAGTGGGGAGAAAAAACCCTAGTGTCTGTCCATGAGACTTTTAAATAATTTTTTTTATTTCAAGAGCACAATAGCAATTAATCAGCCAAATACAGAATAACCATCTGCAACATTTTATTTTAAGCAAATTTTGACTGGTACAAATGCAAAGATAGAATCAGAAAAGACTCACTTCTTATTTTTATACTGTAATTCAAAATAGAAAGGTGGTATTTTTTCCCCTCCCATCAGATTTTATGCAAAAACTACTTCCTCTTAGGCTAAGATCTTCTGAACCTGGAGCTCAGTTTTCTAGCTGACCTCCTGAAACCCAATTTTCAGCTGACCTCCTGAAGATAGGGGGTTGGGCCTTGACCAAGAAAAATAATTAAGCGCTATGCTTAACTTTGAGCATGTGATCAAGTGTAGTTGATGTCAACGTGGTACTACACACAGGCACAAAATTAAGCTCCTGCTTAAGTGCATTGCTGGTTCAGGGGCTTAAAATGAAAACCCTGGCAAACAAATGGCAGCACTATAAGACTGTACTGCAGAGGAGCGAGCTATACTGGGAAGTCCTTGGGCTCAGGACTCCTTGCCTCACTCCTATGGCACGAATGGGGTGAATAGCTGGTGGATCTCCCCAACTGAGCATTCCTTTGGTGCAGGGAAATCCTTGTGTGGCACAGAGCCAGGGCCGGTGGGAGGTTGGAGAGTTTATATTATTAAAAGGTAAAAGTTGGAAGATTCCAATTTTAAAATAAATAAACTTGACATCTAATTAAAGGTAGCTTGGATGTTCTGAAAGACGAGCTTGTGCGTCCATCAAATGAGTGCTTTTCAAAACTGGGGAGATGGGCATGTGCTAGGGAAACGGATGCTCAGTTATATCTCGCCTGGTGTTCTGTGGGTGTTTTCAAACCTTGTTATGGGCAGAGTTGTGTTAATGAAAATACAAGTAACCATTTGCCCATGCGGTCTGCCTGGGTCTGGCGCTTGGTTACCAATGCCTGCAGCCTTTGCGTTTTCGCTCCCTATGCAAGGCTGCAAATGGTGGTGGTGAGTTGTTCTTTTAAGATGTGCCTCATGTCTGCTGGGAAGTGATGGAGCCCTCAAAATCCTCTCACAAAAACCACTGAAGAGGCAGTCATTGGGTAATGACTTTGTTGGCCTGATTCTCCTCTCACTTATTCAACTGTGAAGCAAAGTCATTCAAGGGAGGTCAATGGAGTTACACCATGTAAGGCTAGTGTGAGAGAAGGACAAGGGATGAAATCCAGGCCACAGCAAAGTTAATAGCAGAACTCTCCCTAACTTCAATGAGGCAAGGATTTCACCCCAGTCCCTGTCTCTACCCACTCAGGCTGATCTAAACGAGCAGTACTGGAGTGAAAGGCTCTATATCCCATTAGTCACCCCTTGGTCCAGTCCATCCCCTCCCTTTGCTGTACGTTTCAATCTTTGGAGTACCATCCATGAGACACGTTTGGTTTGGTTTGTTTCCACAGGTAAATGTGAATGCAAAGAACAAGTTTTAGGGAATCCCAAGGTCTTCTGTGGAATGAAATACACATATGGTGAGTTACATATTCTTGTTGGGTTGGGTTATTGTTGGCACATAATGGGCAGTTTGAGGAGTCTGTGTAAGACTGTAAGAACAGCATAGCTGGTGCTTAGCCCATAAAATGAATTAAAACAGCAAAAGCTGAAGAAAGGATGTCATAAAATTTACCTCTCTTATTGCAACTTACAGGAAAAGCCAAGTATCAGAGGTGGATTCCCATGAACACTCACTGGGCACATCACTTGGCAGACACCCAGTTTGCCTGTGTTCTGATTATACCCAAGATAATTTTCAAGGAGCAATTATAGAGAAAATTACTTGTTTATTTACAAATTTGGAACTCTACCCGGCATGTCTTGATTTTCAGTGGGAGGACTGGGTGCACAAGAAACACAGGACAGGAGCTTTATTTGATGCAAGTTGCCACAGTATATAGGCAATGCACAAAATATATAATTATAAACACACACACACACACACACACACCCTCATATATACACTGTGCATAACGGCCAAGCATAATCAAGTGTCCTACTCTATTATCCACCCACTAACCACTAGAAAATCCCCTTGGCTGAAGGACCAATACTAAAAGGAAGACCTTGTCCAAAAGGTCCACCCTGCACCATTGCTTAGAGGCCACCAGCTCTGAGCTCTGATAACTCACAAGAGGGAGTGATTTCCATGGGCACAGACCATTCACTGAGAAGACTCTTCTGCCAACCCTTAAGCATTCACTCCTAAGGACTGGCACCCTGTCAACAAGAGCATTTGTTATTGAGACTTAAAGGAGTAAGGAGAAAACGTTGTCTATGGTGAGCCGTGCAGCTGAATACCAGTGAACTGTCTCCTTTATACCGTGCAGGGGAAGGAATTCTTTGTATAACACTCCCTTCATTTCATGAGCTTTCAAACTTTTTTGCACCTGCTCTGTCCCGTGCTAGAGTTTAAAATGCATTGAGAGATAATCCATGCCATTACAGACTGCGCAGTGACCCACAAAGAAAAGTTCAAGGGGCCGCATGTCACTGAAATATGGCCCTGGCTTAGCGGTATTAGAAAAAAATCCATCTCTGCTTTGCTTTGCTTCCTGACTGCGATAGTGACAGTGTTTAATCTAGCCAAAGATAAGAAATAAAAGCAAAAAAACAACTTCATAAATCTTATCTGAAGTGCACTCAGGCCTCCCACCCTTTCATTACTCAGTGTTGCAGGGTGTCAGCTAAATTACAGAGACAACAGCTGAATTGTAGGGTTCATCATAAGCGTGAAGTGAGGGGCTGCAGTGTAGAAGGGGGATCTTCTTATATTTTTTAATATGGTCTCTAAATAAAGCAACATCATAAGAAGCTGTTAAATACCATCCCCGGCATCACGGCTCTCCTAGAGGTCATTTCTGCAGCAGCCTGCGTAGCATAGCAGCAGGACTGTACGGGTATGTCCACACTGCAGCTGTAGGTGTAATTTTCAGCTCGGGTAGATGTACATGAGCTAGCTTTGATCAATCTTAGTTCACTGAAAATAGCAGTGTATGTGTAGCCACGGCTGTGTGGGCAACAGGATGGGCGAGCTGCCCAAGTGCCATCCTGACTGAGACCCTAGGAGTGTACTCAGGCAGCCAGCTCAACCCCCCACCTGCACAACCATGACTACACTGCTATTTTTAGTGCGCTAGCTCAATCAGAGGTAGTGCGGGTATGTCTACCCAAGCTGGGAATCACACCTCCAGAGCCTGCAGAGATATACCCAGCAGGTTTTGTTCACAACACAAAGTGCAGAAAGAGAAACCGGTTCACAGGTATGGAGACACTGCTCTGCATTGTACGGCTGGCACACATCCATCCCAGCCTCCCGGCTCCCCAGTGTAAGAGGAGAAAAGATCTGCTGTGAGAAGAAAGTGGGGGTGACTCTGGGCATCGGCAAGCCCAAACGCCAGCGGGCAGTGGCCCTCCTGTTTTAGTTTCATTACTCGGACATGTGCAGGAGCGTTGGTAGCTAGAGATGAGCAGGATTGTTGGGGTGGGGTGCTGTTCAGACACCTGTCATTCTACTTCGTGTGCCTCGACCAAGGTTTGCAAAAGCAGGAGCCTAAAGTTTGGTTTCTAAAAGTATATTGAAGCTGAACAAAAGTGCAGAAAAAGCAGCAGTTCCCACTGACCTCCATGGGAGCATTTCGAAAGTCAGGCCACTCAGCATCTCCTTACCCCCTGGTCTTTAGGATGGGCGGGCATCTGGCACAGTTACTGTTCAAATAAAACTAACCCAGCGTTCTGTCCAGCAACTGCAAAGTATTGATTTCTGCGTGTCACTAGTCTGACAGTACGACTTGCAGGGTACGGCTACACTACAGTCACAGGGTGTGATTGCAGCTCAAGTGCACACACCTGAGCAAGCTTTAATCTAGCTAGCTCAAGTCCTGGAGCAGTGAAATTAAGGCAACACTCGCTTTGGTGAGGACTAGCCTGCGAGAACTGCTGAGGGATCTTGTTCAGCCGCAGCTGAAGCCCATGCAGCTGCAGCTTCACTGCTACAGCTATCCATGCTAGCTAAATTAAAGCTAGTTTAGGTCTGAGCTGCAATCACACCCTGCGACTGCAGTGGAGACAAACCCACACAGTCTCAGCCTAAATATGTAAACTCTCAGGCTAATTCTGCAGTGTAGAGTCACTTTAGCTGTGTTACTCAACACTGCAGTAGAAAGAGAGGTGGGTGTGACCATTTTATCTATTGCTGCTTTTGAAATTGTGCCCTCCCAGTGGTGAAAGCAAAGATTTTATCAGCCCACGACAAAGGCTCCCATGCAGAAGTAAACGTGAAGATCAAGAAAGTATTGAAATCAACAAAGTTTAAGATTCTGCGAGGAAAGCGAACTCTCTATCCGGAATCCTGGACTAACAGAGGCTGCACCTGTCCAATTCTTAATCCTGGTAGGTATATGGCTTTTACTCTGTGAAAAGTATGTCCCCATCAAGTTTATACTGATTTCTTCCTCGTTCCTCCACCCCATCCTCCAGTGCATTTAATTTATAGTCCTGCACTAAGACACTGGATTTTACTCCATCATTTAAACCCCAAGAGCAGTCTCAGTGGAATACTTTTATTTGGTATAGAAAATCCTTATTCACTTCACATGTTGTGAAGTGTGAAACTGCTATTTGTAAAGCAGAATTACAGTAGTACAGCTTTACATAGCTAATCCACCAGTCACTCACTGCTCTCACTACTGAAAGCAGCTGCATGTTGAGCCAGGCACCTACAAGATAGAGTTCTTTTCAAATCTAATTTTGCTTTAGATCCATAATAACATGTTCAAGTTTTCAGTTCTAGATCTGGTCAAATTACTGTTCTGCTGTTATAGCTTTCTCTCAAAGGAGCGCACACCTAGAATGTCTTCTTCAAAAGTAGTGTTGAATTAATTTAGGCTAAAATGACATGGAAGAAGCTCTTTCTTTTGGGGGTGAGTGGGAAGCTTTAGCTTCATCATCTTTGCTCATCTTCTTTCAGTGAACAGCTGTTTAGGTTTCAAATGAAATGTAATCAATGCTGATAAAACAGTGCATTGATCATCACAGGAATCAAGAAATTCAGAGGCAGAATTTTTCAGTAGAGAGAAACTAAAATCCACCTAAACTATCTTTTTTACTATTCAAGACAAGCGATCAGCTAGTAACTAATTTAAGGGAAACATTTTCTTTTTACAATGTTTGCATATAATTTTAGGGGTTACCTGAACAAAATGTAGATTCCAATACTGAGGATTCCTTTACAATAGGAAGATTTAGCAATAGGAAGATTTTTCACTAAGTGAGAAGAAGGTCATCTGCAAGATTATTACTGTAAGACATCAGATCACTCAAAAAGGTTACCTTGTGGAGATTTTTGCAATCTTGTGTCGTCGTTAGAAATATTGCTCAGTGTTTGGCCTCGAACCTAGTAGACAGAAGGTGGGAGAGATGTACTTAGGAATTCTTTCTAATATACTTCTCATGGTAGAGGGGATAGGGTGAATCAGCATCCCTATGCTTAAGTTTATTATTTAAGCACATAAGACCTTGGATCGTCGCAAAAATCCATAAACATTTTAATGCAAGAGATACAGGTTCTTAATGTTTCCATATGCAAAGCAAAGGCAAACAGGAAAGGCGATTTTCTGATCTCAGCTCTACTGGTATAAAGCTGAAGAAACTCCATTAGGGTTGAAGAACAAAGAATATTATAGTTCAGATACTCAACTGGTGTAAAACAGTGAAAATCTATTGACTTCAGTGAAACGTTACTAATTCATACCAGCAGAGAATCTAGCTCTGTATTTCACCAAATTAAAGGCCAAACACAGAGTGAATTAATATAGCTGCTACTCAGACATCTAAGAAGAGTCGGAGATGCGTTCTCTGGGGCAAGTATTCAAAAACCTGCATTTGGTACACATCAATTGTAAATTTATGTAAATGTGCAAATTGCTCTTACCTATGTTAGTTTTCAATAGGTGAAGCTTAGTAGCAATTAAATTGCTGCATGCTGAAATAAGAACTGAGAAACATCTGCTCACTCTGGGGATGTGGTCTGTCAGGGAGAACCATTAGACAAATACCTCTGTCATCTCTGATAGCACATTCACTTCAGCTACGCTTGTGCCCCTTTTGTGTTCATCTTTATGGGAGCATTTGAAAATTTTCCTATCAAAAATGTTTGTGAAAAGCAAAATGAGTGTACGCCCATGGAAACTGCGCTTTAATTTTGCACACACACGTATTTGTATATACTTCCAATCATGGAACAGAGCTAATTCTATGACTTATGTGGCCAATCACAAGCAACATAGCTCAGATTTTCAGTTTTGTGGCCGTGATCCACCACTGTCCTACTCCAGTTTTATGCAAGTGTAAATCTGGAGTTACACAACGACAAACCATCCAATATTGGGTGAATTGTTTGCAATCCATCCATACTGTAAAAACACTTTTTAAAATTAATTGAATGAGTTCAAGTAATGAATACATTTAAGGAAATAGTGATATACTTACAAATATTCCCTAAGCAGGAAAAGGATCTAAGGCCCTGATTCTTCAATGAGATAGCATGAGAAGACCCTGTACCAACACAAAGCTCTGCTGCAGGCTCAGGGATCTGCTTCCATGGAGCTCATCACTGGATCAAGGCTTTTATTTGTAGTCTTGTGATAGCTGATGTTTTTCTTAATGCCCCAGCTCCTGGAGTCCTGTGATTGCAAAAGAATCTCAGCTTTCATTTTAAAAATAGTAAGTTTCTAGCTCTCCTGGTCATGAAGAAAAACTTGAAAGCATGAACCAAATGCACTGTTCACACCCACAAACTAGCAGGCAAGTAAAAAAGAATCTGAAATTTAATTTTTGGCCAGTTGGCAGTATTGCATTTGTAAGTTAAATGACCCATTTACTCTTCTCTTAGCGTAGGAACTATAACCTTCAGATCAATAAAAACCACGAACAGCAGGACAAAAAAGTCAAAGCAGACATGAAATGATTTCCTCACACATAACTTTTCAGATAACAACATCTCCTAAAACATGAAAGAGATCAAAGTAGAAAGAGAGAAAAATAGTGTAAAAATATCATGTTTTCATTCTGTCCCAGCAATACGGAGCAGCAGCTTGGATCTTAGAGTTTCCAGCCAGAAAATCTAAAAACACTCATCAAATCGCACCACCCTGGTGCTCAGATGATAAGCTAGCTGAGTTCCTACAAGGAATATTTCCAACACACACACACAAGTGAACTAAGAAGACAGTAAACACAGAAGATTTAAGTGTCTCAATCACCTTCAAGGAAGCAGACTCCACTTCCTAATTGCAGCACTGCCAAACATAGGAAAATAACAGAGAGTTCCTCACAACTAAAAGCAAGGAATTTGAGATGAAATTCACAACCTTGAAGAACAGAATGAGACATCTAAGGAAGTGTTTTCGTTTTATTTTTGTATTTAAAAAAAGCAAGTCTACAACATCAACTGCTAAATAAAAAAAACTTGCTCCCATACTCGGAGCGTCATACCAAGCTGCCTCCTCTAGAGAGATTTTATGATCCTTTGAAAAATGATGTTTCTAACAGAAATGTTGATACAGCCATAGTGAGTGCTCTGCAAATAGCCATACTGTGATATGTATCCTGTGTTTACCTTACAGAAAGATGACTGCGTTTGCCCAAAAACTCAGATGTAACAGATAGTAAATTGTATCAAATTATATAAATATATGTGTCCTCTTTACTTGTGGAGTTGATACTTTTAAAATAGTCTTCGCCTGTTAAAAATAACACTATCTACATTGGGCTAAATCCGCAGCTGTGCCTAGGGAGTTATAGGTGGCAAAGATGGCTCTAAGCCAGCTTTCTCTTGTCCAGATCTTGAGGCTGGCTGGGACAAGTTAGAGCAGCCACACCCCTGACATTCTACCTTTGGAACACTCCCTACGATGGTTGGGGGAGCCAGGAGAGTCTAGTGCAGAGCCCACTATGCCATCTTTACACTAGCTGTAGCTGTCCATTACTCTGTGTTGTACAGCCCCTAGCACAATGGGGTCCTGAGCTTGGCTGGGGCCTGTGGGTGCTATCATAATATAAATAGGAATAATCATCACCATCCCCTGACTCCAGGAGAATCCTCAGCTACCCGGCTAGGACAGCTTTTAGATTCCTGTGTGCCCTCAGGATCTGGCCCAGTGTTTCTTCACATAACTTGCAGCCTTATATGAAACAGCTAGGGCCTCATTCTGCCCCCACTGGCCCTGACTCAACAAGGTATTCAGAAAGCATGTGCCTAGCTTGAAGCATGTGAGTCACCGCATTGACTTCAATGGGACTGCTCCCGTGTTTAAAGTCTGGCACGTGCTTAAGCACCTTCCTGAATCAGTGCCAGAGCCAGTAATCTGGTATAAATTAAGCAATTCCACTGCAGTGAACAGAGTTACACCTGTGTAAAATCAGGTGAGTTCAGAATCAGGCCTGTGACATCAAAAGCATGTGATGGAGCCATGTACCAGGATTCTATGTCACTGCGTTTCACTGGATTTTGGAAGCATCTAGAATTCAGGCAAGATTTTTGAAGGACGCTGCTAACATATCTCTGAAATGTCTGGGTGAGGCAGAATTTAATGAAGCACGTTTTGGTTTGAATGCAAGCCCTCAGGCACCCTCCAGGTGCTCATTCCAGTTCTTCTACTAGCCCCATTGCCTCATTTGGAGTATCTCATAGCTAATTGGGTTCCTAAAGGCATTTAACCTGCAGCTGTGGATGTCCATGACAGGAGAGGAATACATATGGAACTTGCCTTACTGATCTGCAGCAGATCCTGTATTTTTAAATATCTAAAACCTGATAGATAAATTCATTCATTATTGGTGAGAATAACTGCTTTGCTAGGCTACACTATTCTAATCTGTTTAAATTATGAGCCTTAATTCACCGTTAGCTGTAGAGCTAAAAATAGTGGCATGGAAATATTTACCTGATTTTCCCCTTTAATGCCACCTTTATGACATGTATACACACACACACATTAGACAAGTTGTACACATGCCGTGCCAGCTTTGCATGGACAACTGGGGCTCAACAGGAATGAAATCTGCCCCTGTGCAGAAGAAGGTCAACATGAAGCCTGTGGATCATTTATGTCCCACATATGCCCTAATTTGAGAATTTAAGTGGGGTTTGAGTAATGCCTAAACCTTATGCTGGCTGCGCAGGAGTGAATTTAACCCAGCAACTTCTATTAAGTCTATAAAGAGAGGGTATGAAAATGAGCACCTTTTACCCAGCACCTCCTCTATCTCCACAGCTCTTCCCACATGCCACTTGCCTATATAGTGTGAGTCACCACCAGATTCAGAGCTTGACAACAGCATCTCATGCAGATCTCACTGTCAGTTGGGGCACAGGGCTGACTTTGATGCATCTCTCTCTATATACAGTATTTCTACACAAATGTAGGGGTTTTTTCTTCAGAATAGCTACTTATATTAACTTTCAGTGTAGATATCTTTTTAAGCATTCTGCCATACAAACCCTGACCACTTTGATGATTTGCAGGCTTGGAATACCTTGTGGCAGGGCATGAGGAAGTACGGACTGGGAGACTGATAGTCAATATGAAAAGTTTTGTACACCAGTGGAAATCAGCTCTTGGAAGAAAAGTCTTGGAGATTTTAAAAAGAGACTGCAACTAGAAGTGCACAAACAGGTAGGGCATTTCTTTATGCACAAAATGCAAACTTCACAGACAGAAGACCTCTGAAATGAAAACTGGAATGTAAGAAAATAGTGCCCAAATTTGTAGAGTGGTGTTCCGATTCATAGGCTCTGTCTCGTTTAAGCCTTCCAGGTCAGTGTTGGTGTACTCTCCTGGAACTGCTTTGGAAGGGTGCGCATATGAGCCAATGTTACATTCAAAAAAATGTAGGGTCTGATTCTCATCTCACATACCCTAGTGTAATTGTGGAGTAACTCCACTGAAGTCAGTGAAGTTACACCACTATAAAATTGGCATAAATGAGAGGAAAATCATGCCCACAAACTAAAGAGGATGGACAAAAAATTGCTGCCAGTCACACCAGTGTAAATCCTGACTATCTTCAGTGAAGTTGAGGGCGTTCCCTGTATTTACACTGCTATACTATGACTGAGTCTTGACTGCAGTCATTGGGAGTTTCAGAGGAACAGCCGTGTTAGTCTGTATTCGCAAAAAGAAAAGGAGTACTTGTGGCACCTTAGAGACTAACCAATTTATTTGAGCATGAGCTTTCGTGAGCTACAGCTCACTTCATCAGATGTATACCGTGGAAACTGCAGCAGACTTTATATACACACAGAGACCATGAAACAATACCTCCTCCCACCCCACTGTCCTGCTGGTAATAGCTTATCATTGGGAGTGATTGCCGCTCAGGCCAAAGTACACAGCTAGCTCTAATCCCCACAGCTCGGATCCTGGAGCAGTGAAGCTACAGCAGCTCATGCTGCACAAACCTGTCTGCAACCCTGGATTTGCAGGGCTAACGACACTGAAGCCTGCCCTGCCGTGGTGTCACTACTCCAGTACTTGAGCTAGCGAGATTAAAGCTAGCTTGGGTACATCAACTCAAGCTGTGGTCACATCCCATGATTGCAGTATAGCCAGACCCTAAGATCAGACTTTGGCCCACTACTTATAACAGCTTTCTATAGAACTGGAAATATTGTTTGTATCAGTGGGAGAGCTCTGTTGGCAACATGTCATTTGCAGTTACTCTGTAGTAGCACAAGGTCTGATGAGGATGTGCCATCATCAAAAACAGTTGTGCATGCTTTTAAAGGAATGTGTAGGATTTAACTTAGGGCCAAATTGTTTTTTCACTTACACCAGTGTGAACCTGTCGAAGTCAATGGAATGACTCTGTGTTTACACCAGAATAACTAAGAGCCGAATCCAGCCCTTTGTCAGCAATGTTATTTTACTAAAGAGGTGCAGCGTATGTGAAGTTTTGTCCACAAAGTGTTAAAACTGATCCTATCCAAATGTAAATATGTCATTGTATAAAGCACTTTACTACCTGCCGCTTCATGGTGTGGCAAGTTTAATGTTGTTGGAGAGAAAAAGGGGTGAAGGTGGCCTACAAACAACCTATTGAAACAGAAGCACTCCAGAAGACCCCTAAATGTGGACAATGTTAATGGTATAAAGGGAATAGTCCTCTTTGGTCTTGGCACTGACCGCTCAGAGAATCCAAGGATGCAATCTGAAAGATAATGTACTTGCACTGAAGTCCCAATTTCAGACCAGAGTTTGAACCCGATGGGTATAGACTATAATGAGACTTCACAAACAGCATAGAGAACAAGAGACTAAGAAGCAAGAATGCAATTGCCAGAGGATAAGAACTCTGCCTGCGGACAAAGAGATGGACTTTTTAAGTGAAAAGAACTCTGTTTCACATATCACAGCCCCGTAATTCATGGCAGATCTAGAGCTTATTTTATTGTCAATGTTAGTATTTAAAACTGAACATTACATTTGTTTTCCCCTGTGTTTTTATTTACGGTATATATGACCATTTTCCATTTTAACAGCAATTTATGGGACATATCACAGTTATTGCCATTTCCAACACTAGATTATACCTTTTCTGTAACCCATCTTTAAACTTCAGTACATAAAGTGTATTCTGTTTATGAGCATGAGGGGAAAAAAGAGGAGGAACTGCAATGCCATAAAAAAATTCAAGTCTGCCAATCTGCTTCACAAATGTATTTCTCTTTCAGGGTCGTGTTGACTCACAAAAATGATGCTATTTTGGTAATTTGTTTTTATATCTCATGTATGTAATAAATATGATATGATTTCAAAAGCCTCATCTTTCACTCCCATTTACATCTCTAGTAATATTGTTCTGACACCCGCAATGCAAGGAAAAAAGAAAGCCATTGTACAGCAGAATTTTATTCTCTTTGGTTTCAGAGTAGCAGCCATGTTAGTCTGTATTCGCAAAAAGAAAAGGAGGACTTGTGACACCTTAGAGACTAACAAATTTATTTGAGCATAAGCTTTCGTGAGCTACAGCTCACTTCATCGGATGAAATTCATCTTTGGTGAAATTCAGCCCTTGTGCAAAGAATCAGCACAAGGCCTAAGTACTATGTAATTCACATTTTTGTCCTATTTTGAGGGGTCTCAAATGTAGGCCCTCTGCACAGGGGTTATTTCATCCTTAATGTCGTTTAGACTTGGCCAGAATCTGGTAATCACAGAAAAGCAATAGCCTGAGTTGGAGAGTGGCTACACATGAATACCAGGCCAGTGATGATCCAAATCACGCTAACCCATTGTCCCTCCAGCTCTCATTTGAAACTGAAAAGGGAAGATGCTGTGGGAAATTAAAACCAAACAAAAAAGGCCTACAGCTAACAAAACAAAAGTAAAATCATTCACAGGTACTGAAAAGGAATGGCCAGAAGGCACAGGCGGTGAACTACTCTATAGGTTTCAGAGTAACAGCCGTGTTAGTCTGTATTCGCAAAAAGAAAAGGAGTACTTGTGGCACCTTAGAGACCAACCAATTTATTTGAGCATAAGCTTTCGTGAGCTACATCGGTGCATCCGATGAAGTGAGCTGTAGCTCACAAAAGCTTATGCTCAAATAAATTGGTTAGTCTCTAAGGTGCCACAAGTACTCCTTTTCTTTTTACTCTATAGGTAACACCTACTCCGTTAGATATACACATCCTGGGTGTACTCTGTTAATCAGAAACCAAAGGGTTAATTATCTCACAGTGGCACTGATTTCTCTCCTTCCAGTTCTTCCCCAATGGAAAAACATAGAGGACTGGAGTAGGTCTACTCTCATGAGACTGGGTTTGCCTCACCCTGGAAGAAGTAAGAGTTTTAGCTTCTGGAACGCAGGGAGATCTGCATGGATCTTTGAGTGGGGGAAGATCCGTACAGAAATATGGGGACTCCACACCAACTCTCTTCACCCTTCTGGCTCTCTTGCCCATGAAACCCCATTCCGGCTCCAACGGAAATGTAACAGAGCCTCAAACTATATTAGATTTTCTGCAGATTCTCTGAGCATTGGTGAGGGAATTATATACTTCCCTTTGCACAGCCCCCTTCCTGCACAGAGCTGACCATATGGTCAGGAACAGGGACCAACAGAGCCACAGAGGCTACTGAACCTTTCTCTTCTGCGGGGGCAGGAGAGATGTATGTGCAGAGACTACCTCCACCCACAGATCAACATAGAATGAACTGGCCTAGTTTATGCACAGGGACTAAGTTAAACACAGTGCAGATTGCTGTGTTCGTAGTGGCTCGAGGGCTTTGGCCACAGTAAATGGTGCCCTATTGCAAATGACAATCAAACCAGCCCTTGTAGTCTCATTAGTTAGTCTTCAGAGTAGCAGCTGTGTTAATCTGTATTCGCAAAAACAAAAGGAAGACTTGTGGCACCTTAGAGACTAACTGAATGCATCCGATGAAGTGAGCTGTAGCTCACGAAAGCTTATGCTCAGATAAATTTGTTAGTCTCTAAGGTGCCACAAGTCCTCCTTTTCTTATTAGTTAGTCTGGAGACAACTATGCCACTGAGTGGCTTGACAGCACCTGCAGAGGAGGGCTTCAGAGCAGGTGAGGCTGATGGTTAGATCTCTTTTACTCTTCAAAATCCCTTTTTATGCTTAAGGAAAAGCGCAACATTTCATTAAGTGTGTCCAGTAACTAATGACTATATTTACATAGTATTGGTACAGCATTTTAAGTCTTCAGTAAACAACCTGCTTAAATCTCTAAAACGAATTAGAATGGCTGGAGAGGCAGAATCTGCTGTGGGGAAGAGAGATGTCTGCTTACAGTGTATTATCTGGGCCTGTGATTGAGGCAGTCTACCCGTGAGGGCAGGGAAGGATTTATGTTTTAGGGAAGATAATTAGCTTTCCCCTGTGCCTGCTTCTTGCTTAATATTTGCAGACACATCAGTTATAGCACAGAATTTCTGTAAAACGCATATAAAGGTCCCCAAGAGTGGGTGAGGGAATATCTTTTATTGGCCAGCTTCTGTTAGTGAGTGAGACATGGTTTTGAGCTTACACAGAGCTCTTCTGCAGGTTTGAATATTTTCAGTCTCTGGTTCTTTGTTGATTGGACGAGGCTTTTGACAGGATTACAGATGTTTCTACTTCTACTGCCAGCCTTCATTTCCCCTCCCAGCTCTCACCTTCCTTTCTCATTACTATGACATCATACCCAATGTGCTTTCACTTCTACTCTCGACTCAACTTAGCTGCTTCTCTTCTATCGTCCCATTGGAATGGTAAGTATTAGGTGACTGAGTGGCCCAGGAGATTGATAATGGCTTACAGAACATTTCCCTTTGCGATCACCAGTTTAAATCCAGCATGGAGCCTCCTTCTCCTTGTGCCTCATCAACAGGCACCAGCCGCGACTGCACTCCTGGTGCATGTGAATGCAAGGAGTCGAGAGAACATGGGTCCATGAGACTGCATCCCCTCTGCACAAGCCAAAGGTGTTGATGGGCCATAGACAGGAGTGCCCATTCCTTAAAGAGTGGCAGAGTGGCCATAGTGACTTTCATGCTTAGGAGCTCCTGGGGGTCCCCAGCAATGGTCTGTGCCTTTGTGCCCCCACTTTGGTTGCTATCCTCACTGTCATATTAAAAGTCCTGTGGCTCTTCCCCATTGTGGGCCCAGTCCTGCTCCCAGCGAAGCCATTAGCAAAACTCCCATTGACTTCAGGTGACCATATTTCCCAAAAGGAAAACAGGACACTGCTCAGGACTAGCCCAACCCCTTCCCACCCCCTGGCACAGGGCTGGGGTTGACAGACTGAGCCCCACCACCCGGGGCTGGGGCTGAAGTCTGAGCCCCACTGCCCATAGCTGATAGCCCATGTCCCTCCCCCGCTGCCTGGGACTTGCCTAAGCCCCTCCTGCTCCCGGTGCAAGGCTGGTCTGAGCCCTGCCACCGGGGGCTGGGCTGACAGCCCGAGGCCTGGCCCCTGGCACTGCGGTTGCCCCCCGAACGTTCCTCCCCCCCTTTTTTGGCAAAACTGGGAATTTTGTCCCATTTATGCTTGCCAGCGATGATCAGTCGGCAAGAGCAAATGGGAACAAATACCCAGTTTTGCCAAAAAAATCAGGATGTCTGGGACAGAACTTAAAAAAGCTACTGTCCCGGGCAAAACAGGACATATGGTCACTCTACCATTGACTTCAAGGGGGGCAAAATCAAACACCATGTCTGTCTCAGCTGTTTGAAAGGTTGCTTACCCCTGCCCTCAGCTACAGAACAGTGCACGTTTTATTAGTGAGGGAGGCATTTGTGTAGCACTGACTTCATGTACTGGACTCCAGCCTCTGCTGCACCCTGTGTTTGCGGGGCACAGCAGAGGAGGGGAGCCACAAAAGAGCCCGTGTGGTGCCCTGATCTTGAACACAACCAGGAACCAGTTCAGCCTGCAGCCGACTTTAGAGCAGCCCTGGGGCTGCTCTGAAATATGTTCCACATTCAGCAGCTTCCAAGGGTCCGTCGGTCAGCTGGTGATTGCTAGAGGACAGTGTGTTCTGGCCATGTCCCTTCCTCCTCCTAGCATGCTCTGTACACCAGAACTGAAAGGGGGTGGCATGGGGCAGCTATCCCCCAGCTTTATATCACCTAAGGAGCTCCCCTGCCCCTGATGAATTACCCATTTGGATGTTCAGTCCCAGCTAAATGGCCCCTTTGTGCCATGGGAATTGTTGGAAGAATCCACAACAGGGCTCAGGATTGAGCCCACTGGGTGAGCTTCTGAAATAAACATGATTCTTGTCCCTCTGACCCATCACTCACAATGGAGGAACATGATCTGCCATTTGCAATGGAAAATTACAGGCATGTTTTAATATAATTACATTAGTGGGCTAAATCTTCTGGGATGTGACCATGTTACTGAAAATGACGGATCATTTGGCACTACAAAACTGTCTAAATATAAATCCAAGCTGGGTCTGGCAAAACATAACTTTGGAACAAATATCTACAGTGTATTTTTAAAATAATTTATTTTTAGTTATCATATTTACTTCCATATCAACAGTGTCTAGTTTAAAAATCTCAAAAATGTCCAGTGGCTGCTCCCACAGCAGCCGATAAGCAGCTAAGGATGTCGTCAGTCTCTAGGGTTTCTCTGCTGGTGTGTTGATTTTTCAATGACAATGCGTTCTAAAACCTAACCTTGCTCAGAGGTCAAAGCTACGCACAGCTTCTTTCCCACAGTTCAGCATGAAAATATTTATGAATGCACTTAATTGCTTCCAGGAAAGGGAGGGCTGCCCTGAGAAAAACAGGCTGAAAGATGTACTATATATGGAAAAACTTCATGACATATTGAAAATATTACCATGATCTAGAGATGAGAGCACCAAGATTTCTATTTTCTTGGCCCACCTCTGCCATTAACATGCTGTGTGACTTTTGACAACTGCCTTGTTCTGCCTCTCTATCACTTAAGTGCCCATCTATATAATAATAATCCTTAGCCATTTCAGAGATGTGTTGTTAGGCTCAGTTCACACATGTAAACAGCGAAATACCACACTGTACCTGCTTTGCAGCAATCCATAGTTTAAGCCATTTCCAGTATTTTCTTGGATACTTTCTCAATATTCCAGAAGAACAAGCAGAAACCATAATTAGGAAGGCAGCAATCCCCAGTGGCCTCTTTGACGCTTAGCTGCGCTGCCTCACGTCAGTTTTAGTTTCTTCTCAACAAACTATGA